CTCCCGAAGAGTAGGATGGAACGTATTAAACTTGTTTATAGCATTTACGAATTCATCTCATTGGTGTAGGCTCAATGGAGTTTGCCTTAGGCCCCGGACAGACTTCACGCGATTTGATCGTCGCGACTAAATCGCGACCAGACAACTGCTACAACATCATTCCATGCCGATCAACTTGCATTTCGGTTGTGATACTTTTCCAGCCCGAAATTTTTGAACGTACACTCAAAAATTTCAATGTACAATGCTATGGCTGAATTCAATGTACACAATGCTATGGCTTTTTGAATGTACATTCAAAAATTTCAATGTACAATGCTATGGCTCAATGTACATTCAAAAATTTCGGGCTGGAAAAGTATCACAACCAAAATGCAAGTTGATCGGCATGGAATGATGTTGTAACAGTTGTCTCGTCGCGATTTAGTCGCGACGATCAAATCGCGTGAAGTCTGTCCGAGGCCTTACGCCCCCCGCTTGCACCCAAAGTGCTCTTTGATTCTTCAAATAAGCATTTGTAGGTGGAGGGAGCGGGTGTATAGGTGTATGGGTAAAGACCCGCCCAACCAATTTCTGGGGGGAGGAAGAACTCCGCGACAAATTTTGCATAATGTAAAAAGTTAATAGGGTCCAACGAGCTGTTTCCACTAACGTCGAAAGGCGTGAGCCGGACCTAAGTCGATTTGTGGACTGCGTATACGTATGTTAAAAACACCAACATCGGACAGTAAAACACAAAAGAACTCAGGATCTTCTTACGAACTGCGATCACTGCAACCGTAAAGACTGGAAACCGAAATGACGTGATGGAGGATTTCTGATGTTAAGGAGCAGCGGCGATGTGATTATACTAAAGTATTCGAGCGGGTTGACAGCGTCTAGTGGCGGCATGAGAACAGGAAGGATCGCGTGTGCGCCAGCACGATCAGGGGTCCAGCTTGTGAATAGATTCACTCGATTATGTCGGAGAGAATACAGACTAGAAAGTAGAGTGTAAAGTATCAGCTGCTGCCCAGTATACTTGGGTTCGAATCGAAAAAAATTCGATCATTTGATTAAAATATTCGAATATATTCGCATTCGAAATTTGATATTCGGAGTTCTTCAATTTTTGAATAATATTCGAAACTCGAATAGTTGAGGAAACGGGGTTTCGAATAAAATTCGAAACTCGAATAATCAAAAAATAGAGTTTCGAATAAATTCGAAAACTCGAATAATCAAAAAACGGGGTTTCGAATAGATTTTATTCGAATGTTTATTCGAAATCGTATTCGAAATCTCGTATTCAGATTATTCGAGTTTGTCGCAGAACCAACCGTTGAGTAACAGCTCGCTTCGTCTGCGTTTTTTTGCAAAACTCGATAATGCATCTTTTTGCAGCCGGGATCACCTTTGAACTGTATAAGCCGCATTCCTCCAACTGTTGACAGTGAAAAAAATAGGTGTGGATTTCAATTGATGCTTTTTTCGATCAGCGATATTTCGCACTGCTATTGGCACCAAATCAGCCAAAAAGCTATAAAATTCAAGCTCATATTCCGAGTTCATATACTGGAAATGAGTTGACAGGCCTGTTCCTCTTTCTTTGCATTGCTCATGCATTTGGTACGCAAAGGTCCACACTAGTGAACACACTTGCTTGCAAAAGTCATATTGCACAACTGCCCTTTATTCTTTACCTTAGAGATTTTTCGCGAATTGGTGTATTTTGAGTAAAGGGCAGTGCATTTGTGGTGGAGAATCAGATTTGCTGGATTTTGCTGTCATATCTTCTTGCAATAAAGTTTTGTTTAGTAGATAGTACAGGATAGTTCTGTTATCACAGTGCATCCAAGATTCATGGAGGCTTGCAGGCACTTTAACACCTGGAGCTATCAGCCTATCAACTATGGTAAGGGCTTAGGCCGGACGAAGAAGGTCCATTGAGAGTGAGCTTTGATTATGACAGGCCCCGCACATACTTCATGCGATAGTCGTAGCAATTTGCTAGTCAGGAGATGTCTTCAAATGTAACGAAACTTCCCACAAATGTATAGCGTGTACAACGTTCTATTATAAATGGATAAATGACCTGCTTTCTGTACTTCTAGAATCCGCCTACGTAATTTTTGGACAATTTAACTATTGCCAAACCACGTCGCTACTGAAATGCCTGCAGTACGCTTGAGGCTATAGGGACATCCTTGCTCGCTTCGCAGAGTAAACCGTATGTCTTCGTCCACGACTAACTTATACTACACATATAAAGTCCTAGCTCACCGAAGAACCTCACTGATGTCCGTCACTACCGTGCGGACTACTGACTTCGCGGTGGACTGGAGGTTAGTGGATCCATTTTGGATTGTTTTTCGGCACGTTGCGCCTCGACGCGGTTTAAACGACGGAAGTCTGATGAGGCGTTTGGTCGTGTAGACTAACACATGATTTGACTGCAATCTCCTTTCAGACCTCAGAAGAAGACGATATTTGTCGAAACGTAAGGTCAATAAAGGTCCACCATAAACACATATTCGATGCTGTCAGGTTACGAGGACGCATACTAATGACAAGGATGAACCTTTCAGCAGGGTAGTTCCTACATACGAGTCTGGATGTAAAGCTAAAGAACTCTATCTAGTCTAGATGTTTAATTTCTACTTCACTGGAAATTTCCAGTGGAGCTTTGATCTCTGAAGCTGGAGTTAGGTGCGAGCAGGTAAACAGATGCAGAACCCTTGATTGGGGCTCGTCGGGTGCGTAGGGTTAGAGCAATTCAGAGCAATTCGGACAATTTTTGTCACTTCAAAAATTTAAAAAAGCAAAATTTTTCTAGGTCCGGTGAGTTGCTTTAGCTGAGATCAGGGCTCGGGGCAAGGTGGCTTTCCGAAAATGAACAAAAAAGGCCTCCTTGACTTTCGCAAAATTTTACGAAGTCCCTACCCTAAAAAACCCGAACGTCAAAACCATAAAAAACGAAATGTCGACTAAAAAATGTGATCTAAGTTGTGTTGTTTTAGCCTCAAAAACATCCCCTTTGCTTTTTGTTCCTACTCGATATCCAGCTTGTTTATAAGTCACCTCCGAGCCCCGGCTGAGGGACTATTCGAAAAACAGTAGTGACACCGAATTAGTGATCTGTGCCTTGGCTTTGCCTAGAATACTGTTCCTGCGGTATGGTTCCATATAGTCGCGTAAACATGCGTCATCGTAGTCGCGTTTTCTTTTTGCATAGTGAATGGAAAATTCAAAGAAGGTTTATGTTGGACTTTTGAAAGCATGCATCCTATTGTGTTGCAGCACTAAAGCCTGTAGCTTGGTGCAACGTTTTTGCGATCTTGAAAATATACAAATGATTGCGAGTTTTTAGAAGATAAGAGGTAAACAGCAGAATTTTCTTTGCACGTCGAGCACCTTCCGTACGTCAGTACATTGACGGACGCCCGTTTTGACGCCGCTTCGTAAACTCGCAAACGTCAGTGATTGACAGGTAAAGTAGCTGCGAACTCAAATTGCTAAACTATTTACAAGGGAAGGAAGGTTGGTCGAAGTGGCCTTTCAAAATGAGATGTACATTTTTTTGTAGAGCTTGGAACGCTGATTTCAATCTATCTTTGCTATCTGCTGCGGGCTTCTGGGTGAGGAGTTATGAAGGTTTTTGTGAGCAAAAATTAAAATGCAAAATTGGTATAAAATCAGTCGTAACCTTTTCCTAATGTTCGAATGAGGCAGCACTGAGTTGGTATATTTGATTCAAAAATATTCATTGCATCGAATGACTCCACTATCAATTAGGCCCTAGAAAAAATGTTACGACTGATTTTACACTAATGTTGCAAATGATTTTTCACTCACAAAAATGTTCATAACTCCTCGCCCAGAAGCCCGCAGCAGATAACGAAGGCAGATTTGGAGTCAGCGTTTCAAGCTCTACAAAACAGTATACATTGCATTTTGAAAAGCCACTTCGACCAACCTTCGTTCCCTTGTTAGTCGTGAAATGAATAATATGCGTTCCTTTTTTGTGCGCTGCTTACAACGATGACCCAATCACTACCCCATAAAAGGTAGCGGTCCTCTGAACTGCTAGCCATTGCCCTGGCTTGAATTGCACATGATACGAAGCGTAATTATTGCAAAGTACTAAACAAACTGTAAGAATACCATGTTTGGTCTAAAAACCCTAAGTCGTCCCAATGCAATGCGGGCGTGCGCTGCGACAGAGTCAAAGGCAGTATCTCGGCAAAATTTCGTATTCCAGTTTTTCACCTTTTCAGAGCCTTCTCGCCATGGCGAATCAATATCTGGGCTTTTCAGAGCATAAACATGACGAAAGTGAGCTTTTTACGAAGCTTTTCATTTCCACATTCGGTAAAGATATGCCGGCCTTTGGCGCACCTCCTCCCTCGTTCTGATCCCCGCCCACTTGCGCGTATTCTCCGTTGAATGCGGTCCGTATAGCTTCAGAAAAGGCTCATTTTCGCCAATTTCAGCCTCTGGAAAGCCTAGATATGGACTTTTGGCGAGCTCCGAGAAGGTGAATATCTGGAAAACGAGATTCTGCAGAGACAGTAGCTTTAAGCAATGTAAATGGTAAGTTTGGTGATTTTGCATGTCATGATCATGAACGAGGAGTTTTCAATTGAAGACGTCACATGGAAAGGTGCGATTTATGAAACAAACTTGCACTTTGGCGAAAACCAGTTTTTTTCGCTCGGATCGAAATCAATGACTTTCACCCATAAGAAAGTTAGTTAGTCCATTTGTAAACGGCTAGCTGTCTTCGTACGTTTAAGTAAGGGTTTTGTGAGATGGATTAACGATAATTTATTTGTTATAAACATAAATCGTGCCCATCAATGAAGTAAAAAAAATTTGCTTACACCCTACCAGCTATTTGCAGACGTGGGCATTTCTTTGTTTGGAAAAAAGAAGAATCTCTTGTCGAAATTGAATAGGATATATGTGTACGCAGATTGACACATGGTGTGACTAGGATATCTCAAACGGTCTCAATATGATTAACAACAAAAATACGGCGTATAATAATATGGGCGCGCAAACCATGGCCTTCTCCATGGTCGTCTCCACCATCGTCTCCTATATCCCCATCCGCCATAGCCACCACCATAACCTCCAAACATCCAAGGCTGTGGGCCAATGTATAAGCCGAACTGTGCTGGGGCGTAATCAACAAGCGACAGTAGTAGAAGAGCAATTATCAAGGAATGCATTCTGAAAAAAAGCAATTTAGATGAGGACAACCTCAAGAGCTACCCTTACCTGGTGAGGAATAAAGTAGAAAACTAAGAATCAGAGTGAAAAACGTATTTATTCACTCATAGCACATCCAGTTCGCCAAAGTCCATGTCCTTAATTTTATTACATGTACTATTGATTTACAACGAAATTTGGCAATCAATGTTCTACACTTAAAGTAGTACAGACAATTGCGGAAACGCTCATTACAAATTCTCTTACTCGCTAAGCTGCTTTGTGAAGGAAAAGCATTCGTAGTCTCCAGGTTGCAGATAAAGACATATGTAGGACCAACTAATTTTGATTAGCACATACGGAAAGCGTTTCCGAAATTAATGCGGCATCCAATTACATCTTGCAGTATAGACCATTTGAGTACAGTAGATACCGAAGCAAATATCCTCCATCAGATCTAGTTTTCAACCATCTTTGAATAAAATGGAAAAAAAATGGATCTTAGCTCGTCTAAATCTGAAATCCACAATCCGCTATTAGCACGCGCACATTTTTTGAGACATTACCCGTAGATTATCCGTAGATACCAATTCATTCTCAGCACTGCAAAGCTTTCACCCATTTTCAGCAGAAATGGTTTCAACTTTTATTTCTTGATCGATTTTACGTTCACAGACGCTTCGTCCATGCCTCATTGGTGCTCTTCAAATCTTACAGACTCCTTGATACGGAATGGATGCACGAACTATGTACACGTAAAAGACCAGGAGATGCTTTCTGGCGTGATTTTATTCATATTTTAGTTTATTTCAAGAGTCATGATATTTACAATATATACCGCTCTTGATTATTCGCTAATTTCGCAATTTTTGTTTATTAGCTGGATCTACTCAACTTCGATTATCTCTTGAGTCTCGCTAAAAGTAAAAAAGAACAGGGTTACCAAGACTGTGCCTGTAAGTATACGATATGATAGCGAAGTTGTGCATATTGCATGAAGTAAATCGAACTCTGTTGGGAATCGTTGGAAAGTTACGGAAAACCGAGAGGCAATTTTTCTTTTCATGCGGATATCCTCAGCCGGTAGTCTTTAGATGTACAAGTACATTATCTGGTACTATATAGGTACAAAACATGGTAGACTCTTGCGAGTACGCTTTCCTATCCTGGAGGGACTCGTACCTCAGTCCAGTTTGATGTGTAGGAACCAGGCGCTTACTGTATTTATCTGTCTTGTCAGTCATATCAGTACGGTTTCGCTAATGTTGTATCTGGAAAGAAGTTTCCCTTTTCCCGAAAATTTGACCAAGGCTCTTTTCTTGAAACTATGTAGGGTAGTATTCGATGGTTGATTCTTCATTTTGTACATGAATAAAAGCTTTTTTCACATGATTTAACATTAAACGAACTTCGTGGAAATTTTGCGGAGTCGGGGGAGAATTTCATAGCAGAAAGTTATTGTTGTTGCCAGCCTTCTCAGACAATTGCATCGGAAAGTTCGTGGCCTCAAAGCGTGCTACATAGCGCGCCGCGGCCCTCAAAATTTCAGCCGCGCACGCCGCGGCCCATGTATATTTTACCGGGAACGCTGCGGCCAAAGTTACAATCGGAAAGAGCTTATCGGGAGAGTCGCGGCCCAATCATCTTACTCGGCGTGCCGCGGGCCCTATCAAAGGCCGCACTTCTTACACGCTGTAGTAAGGCGCAACCCGCGTGAGGTACGCCGCAGCGATGGGGCTATCCTAAGTGTTTGTGACCCTGGTAATCGCTTCTTGGGTTTAGTCCTGTGTGACAGTTAAGTTCACATGCTTGTGAAACAAACTTCAGCAATCGGATGAGTGTTATCGATGACACTAGGTGATGTCAACAAATGAGCCAACTAGTTGCTCAATTTGCACTTAGCCGTTGTCATAAAAGGCAGGCCAGAAGTTTTTTCACTCTTCCTAGGCCTCACAAGCATGCTAGTCGGGTCAACTATCGGGCACTTACAGGATGCGCCGCGGTCACTTATCGGGTCCAATATCGGTTTATACCGGGCAGCTCGCGGCATGGATGATTGGTGGCCGAACAAGCACCCGCGAACTTCCCGATGCAATTGTCTGAGTTGCCGAGCCCTGGAGGTGGGAGGCAAGTAGGTTTGAAGTAGTTAAGCTAGCACGAGACCGCTCACAGAACTGCAAAATCTCGTTGAATGTCGCGGAATTTCAGGACTTCGCGAAATTACGAAAATTTTACACGTTTTGTGAGCGATATTGTACGTGTACTGAAAAGCACTTTCAAAGATATGAATAAGATGCTTGAAACTCTGAATGAGGTCAAGAAACTCTCCTGAGTCTTCAGAACTGCTTTGAAGACTCAGAGTATGTTCACTTGCTCAAAGGGTTAAACAGAGAGTTGGTTTTAATCATGTATCCCGCAAATAAATGGCGCTTTCAGAACGCAAATGTGCCTTCGCTACCTTCATTTCGCAAATATTCCCATTCCCACCTTCCCTCCCACCACCTTAAAATTTGGAACGCAAAATTCTGCCAAACAAATTTGAATTGAAGAGATTTTCATTATTGCAGGTATGGTGGGCAATGGAGTCTGTCTTGAAATAGGAAACAAATTTCATGGAAGTATTTCCGCCAATTTACACATTCCTCAAGAATCGAATGCTGGTGACTCATAACTATATGTTAAGGAATTTGAAAGAAGGCGGTTGTTGCTAGCTGGTTTACGCAGAAGTTTGCTAGAAACACAATCATCCCTCTGATGCTGCCTGAATGAAAGACGTGGATCTGCTTGTCTGCCATCGAAATCATGATTTATTTTGGTTGAAACCATAGCTGCTGCACTTCAGAATCACACTTTTCCGTATGTGAACCAATCCAATCGACGAAGTTTCTTTTTCTTATTGAGCCTAAACTTTTTTGTTTCGTTTACGAGAGGAGTGCGCTGACCTCATCGCTCCTTTTAAGGAAAATAGTTGAGTAAATGTTGTGCTTGTTTGATTAGACGATCGTCTAACCTTAAACTTTCAAGAAGTGGTTGTTTTCGCACGAGACTCACTTTCATTTGACGGGAATAAACCAGAGGATTTTCTTCTTTGCAAGTGAGGTACGGTATTAGGCTCACTACTAACGCTAAAAATGGCGAATATGCTAAGGGTTTCAGATAAGTTATAGATCAAAGGAAATGATTGGTCAGATGATTGATAGAGAATAATTCATTGTAATCCAATTGAACAATCAAAATATATAAGCAGGAACATCTCGTAGCAATTAAGATATCATTACAGGCTTTCAAGCTTTCCAGTACGGATGATACCAAGCAGGATGTCCTGGTGGTGGTGGTCCCCAGAAACGTCGTCGAGCCCACCATGGGCGTCCGTAATATCCATGGCCATAACCGTAGCCCCATCCAGGATGCGCGCCAAGGTAGATGCCAAACTGTGCTGTGGCGTAAGCCAGAAGAGACAATAGTACAACAACGATTGTCAATGACTTCATTCTTGAAGAAAATGGTTCAGATGGAAAAGCAATCAAAAACTAAAGTTTTTTTACCTGAGAATAAGAAGTAGATTGAAGAACTGAGTAGCAGGTGAAAAAAGTGTATTTATTCACTTATCCCACTCCCAGTTCGCCAAAGTACATGACCTTTATTTTACTGCATCTTTATTTTACTGCATGCACTTTTGTTTTATAAGGAAGTGCAAGTCAAGAGTGCATTTTGAGGTGCATTGGTGTAAACTTACTGTTGGGATAATAATTGTCGTATCATTTCTTGCAGACAATTGAATGTATTGAGATACGATTGCACTCACTACCTACTGGTTCTGTAGAATACAACAAACAATCCTAGAATTCTCTTACTACGCCTGAATGACAAAGGTCTTGATAATGGCCACAGGGAGTAAATTTTTAGTTTCGCTCGGGAAGGATACTTGATTGAATTAGCGTCTCATATGAATAGTATCCTTTGTTTCAAACTGGCTTGAGGGCTGGAAGGCGGGGCTTCGTGACTTAATTAATGCTAGATAATGATCAGAGAGCACGCGGCGAGAGAGACGCAGACTGCGTCGCGTGCGCGAGCGGCCTTAATTATGTCACAAAGCCCCACCTTTCAGCCAGTTGAATCAAAGTTACATCGTCTTATAGAGCGTAGGACGCTGGTTCTAAATCTGCTTTCTTTGCCTGTAGAGCGCTTCTGAGTGGGGAGTTGTGAGAATTTTTGGTGTAAAAATTGAAGGATTCGGCTGATTGTGAGGTAGAAGTAGGCCTTTCCGGCGCTTGAATCGAGCAATGACCGACATGAGTCCATTAAACAGAAGATATAAAATTGCATAAAGCACCAAAGGAGTAATCATAGGTCCATTTGAGCCCAAGGAAGGCAGTGTGAATGGTTTTCATTGTAGCGGCGACTCCAATTTTTTTCATAAAAAGTTTCTGTAATTTCCCTCATAGAAGCGCTTTGCAGATACCTAAGCAGTTGAAAACAGTGTTCATTGGTCTATAAGACAGTATACTTTTCATATAGAAAGGCCACTTCGTTCACTTGTCAAAAAAGGCGATCTTCTAAACAATCTGTTTTTCTTAGTCAATAGTAGTGTAATTCGAATGACGTTTCACTTGATACAACGATCGTCTCAGTGATGACGCCGTTTGCTTTTTTTCCTTCAGGTGACATAGAACCGGTTGAGTAACACCAATAAAGTTGATAAAAACTTGATTCGGTCCATTTGGCCAAAAGTATCAGAAATCGATGACTTGATAGGAATTTTGCTTCAATGCTTGATGTAAGTGCGCATTTGTCCAATATCACCTCTTCCGCATTCCTAAGGTCACTCAAAAATCACTGATTTTTTGCTGAATCATTGAACTTGTCATCACACTAGAGTACAAGTATTTTATTGATTTATGGTTCAGCACTTCAGTGTAGTTTGTACTGCACAAATTTGATCTTTTAGATCGTATTTCTCCAACGACTTGAGGGGCCACAGTACAAACGAGACAAAAAAATTTTATATTGAGAGATTTCAGAAATACATAGTTGTAACGACGTTGTTATTTGCAAGCTTTTCTACTTTCAGTGCAATCCTAGTAGGTAGAAAGTATCCACTTATGGAAATCAATTTAGCTAATTTCGTTCAAATGTGGTGTTATATCAAAGTAAAAAAATTGACTTCCTCTCGGCAGTTTTGAAACGAGCGATCAAGATACTCCCAGAGCAAAACCGAAACCCGAGACTGATACAGTATGTGCCATTATAAATGAGAATTTGGATTCAACGGTTAGCTGAAGTACTTTTTCTGATAGGAATCCTTTAAAAATTTATAGAGAAGGAAATATTAGGCCCAAGGCATACGTGGCGACTGAAATCGCATACCACGCGCGATTTCAGTCGCCATGCGATCTGACACTTTGCCAGATCTCTTCAAATTCAATGTTGGTAGAGGCAAAGGCACAGCACGTATAACTTTCGTAAATTGATAGATGCACTATCTTCCGTACATTTAGAAATCCCTTAGGATGAGTTATGACCAATTGGAGTATTGCCAAATCGCGTCGCAACTGAAATTGCGTGAGATATCTGCTCAATCACGATAAGATTAAAGCTTAACGAACAATGGTGAGAACTGAGTTTTTTCTATGATACGTGAGATGATAGCATGACCAAGGATGTTAGTTGTTTCAGTTTTTAAAGGCGATCCTGCGGATGTAATGGATAGGACTTGGGCAAACTTCGGGTTGTGATGAGTCCGTTGGCTAATCATATTCATATCAAAGTTTCAAAAATCTCACGCTTTTCTAAACACTACACTCTGTTGCAACCCCTTTGTGCTTCTTCCAAACTGGTTATGCTTCTCACCGTTTTGTTCATAGTCCCACCCCTCATGCCCCGTTACTATCGAGCATGTTTTGAGATGCCATCAGTTACGCGTTGTTTATACCTCTCCATACTGTCCAATGAAAAACCTGTAGTGCAAGTCACTATGTCTGTACTTTCTTGCTGTGCTTCTTACATTCACTACACATGAAGTCCCAAAAAAATGTGCCTGCCGTTCAACTGTGGATGACCGCTTGTCATGAGGTCTTTCGAAAAGCTTTAGGTACCATTTTGTAAAGCTGGCTTTAACTTAGATTTGCAGTAAAGAGAGAATTGCCCTTCTCTCTTCATTGCCGTAGAACGGTAGATTTTATGGAGTGTTTTGCGTCATTAAAGGTCTTACTTCACCCCTGAAAAACGATTGAAGAAGCTGAAAAGTCTCACATTAGCCTAATCAAACTCGCTGATTTCAAACATGATACACTAATATAATAATATAATATATAATATACTACACTTCACCGTAACGCTTTTCTCATAGGTTATGCCAGATTTACTGTAACAATCGACTTCTATTTGTCAAAATTCTGATTACGCCGTTTAAAAAGCTCCGAGAACGCGCGAAAAGCTATGTAGTGAAATCAGCATGCATGACTTTTTACACAACTTGACAGATTTGTTCGGTGCTTTTTTGGCGAACAGCCTATCTCAGTCCCACAGTGTCGCCATATGCTGCGACTTCATACCGTAATCCTATAGTAATGAAGAGAGATCGGTAATTCGTTCCATACTATAAATCTAAGTTTAAGCCAGCTTTACAAAATGGTACCTACATCTTTGCGAAAAATTTCGAGGTAAAGGAGTTATTTACAAATAAACGTAGGCACATTTTTTGGGCCACCCTGTATGTATCTCAGAATTCTTTTGCCATTCTTGCAATTCTAAATCTATGAAAAAATATGAACGAGCGCTTTTGTAAATGCAACTATCAAATCCGAATTGCAGTTCAAGTTCACACACAGACGCAGGATAACAGCGTTGCACAGTCTCTCGCGCAATAGGAAATCTGTAAAAACCAAATAGGAAGAAAGTAAATCAAAAGAATGTTACGTTCTTCAGTTCATCTGCGGTGACTGTACAGCGAACAGCTTTATAAATGCGTAGCCTTGGTTTGGAACGAGATCGCCATTGATTTCACGAACTCATGGCTTTTTGAGATCTTCTTCTTTCAATGTAAAACATGATAAATAGCAGACAGGAGTTTTTCTTTTTTATATACTTTAATGCTCAACAATAGCATAGCTTTACTTGTTTTAGTTTAAATTTGTGACTTTTATCTACTTCCCCAACTTATTCTGAGACATGGCCAATTTAAAAGTAGCAAGTGTTTCCCTCTCTCGTTATGAGTGAGGTTTGTGCCAAGGCTCATCTGTGTAAAAAATCGTGTATGCAATAGTTCTATGCCATTTCCTTGCGCTCACGATGCATAGAAGGAACCTTGTAAATCTTTCTTCAGATCCACCTATTTTTTCAGATCCTCAAGACGTCGCAAGATATAGCATACAATAAACACTTTTCTTGGGTGAGCTCTGGCACCTTTGAATTTGCATCACCAAAATAGAATATTTTAGGATGCGGTACCTTCTCGTTACCCTCTTCATATCACTCTCCATAGCAATCACATCAGCACAGTGGGGATGGGGACCTCCACGACCCTTCTTTGGACCTTTCGGACCTAGACCTTATGGAGGATTCGGCCCACGACCTTTTGGAGGACCAGGATTTGGTCGCCCTTTCGGTGGAGGAGGCGGATTTGGTGGAGGTGGAGGCCCGCGAGGAGGAGGCGGATTTGGTGGAGGTGGAGGCCCACGAGGAGGAGGCGGATTTGGTGGAGGTGGACAAGGAGGAAGCGGATTTGGTGGAGGTGGAGGCGGACAAGGTGGCGGTGGCGGAAGAGGAGGAGGTGGTGGAGGTGGAGGAGGTAACCGTGGAGGAGGCGGTGGAGGACGTGGAGGAGGTGGTGGCGGTGGTGGACGAGGCGGCGGTGGTGGAGGACGAGGCGGTGGCGGTGGCGGACGAGGAGGTGGCGGCGGTGGAGGACGACGTGGAGGAAATAAGAAGAACGGATAATTTGCGAACAAGCGATCTGAATTGTATACTTAAGTCATTTATCATTTCGATATATCATAAATCCAAGACATAAGTCACCTCAAAGTAAAGTGATATTTGAAGCTTCATTTCTGGTGATATAGCCAAGCGTGTTGCTAATAATACTGTACATATAAGTTCTTCATGTTACAAGTCCGACCGTAATTTAGGACCATTGATTGTTAGTCAACAAAAGTGACTCGTTTACCTCGCATTAAGATAATTTTCTGATGATCGTAATAAATGAGAAATTTTGTGTTTTATTTTACATTTGTACTCGCTTTTGATTTCTTTGACGCTTTGGATAAATCGTATCTAACTAGTACGACTTGTAGTGTTTTCCGCAATTCGTTTATTCATTTGAGTGTTCATTGAAAGCATTCTCTTGCGCTGCGGGAAATACCGACCAAAAATATTCAGAAAGAAAAGATTTATGAGATTGACACCTCTAACAGCCAATAAAGTCAATTTAGTAATTCATGGCGTGGAAGTCTTGAACCGCGATATTACCTTCAAACTGGTTCAAAGAAGAAAACGAACACTGAGTGAATGGACTAATCCATTCGTACCAGCGGAAGATCTTTTCTTATTTCATTTCACACCAGAAACAGCCTGCTGAACTCTGTACGACCAAAGTAGATAGAAAGTCATAGACATATTATGATCCATAGTTAGGGAACATCAACTACTTAATATGGAGCGACTGAAGTGGAAATGTCAATTTTCTGATAGAGAAAGGAAAGTTTCTCTTCAAGTTTGTAATGTCTATGATGTAGGCCAGCTGCTTTGGTTCCATGTTTGAATCCAATTACTCCGCTACGACTTGATCAAGTGAACAGAACTTTCGCAGAACTTTTGCATAGTTTCTGCCAGCTCACCTGCGTAAACCCTGCGAAATGCTGCGGAAATGCTGAAACAAGGAAGTCTTTCGCAGCACTTTGTTTGGGGCTCCGCACCTTGCAGTTCTTACTTTTAATTTTTGATCCGTTCAAACCGTATCAAACTTCATTTTGGGATACTACTTTGCAAATCTGGTTGAGCCATCTTTTCATCTAAAACTTTATTTCGAGATGCTATAATGAGGCGCAGGCAGCGAGTATTCTTATTGAAGAAAATAATGGAACAGTACAATATTTTATGCAAAAGCATTAGAATACAAAAGAGCATGCTCAAAAGATCAGAAAGAGATTGATTATTGAATTTAGGATTCTGAGCGAATGAATCAAGACGGAGTTAGTGGAGTAGTCTTCGAACTGATGTGAGGTACTGTGTTGTTCGGGAAACAATGTCGCATTGCGTCCTAGGTAGATCCGAAAGTGTGGGGCATTATCTGATAGAAAGCAAGCTTTGCAAGAAAGAGCACAAACTCTCGCTAAGCTTGTTCCACCTAAAGTTTTACGCCAGGAAAATTTATTTAAGTATTGAAGTTATGCAAAAGTAATGGGACACATCGGTTTTTTGTGATTCCGAACTTTTTTCTGGTCAACGATAAGCATCCAGCAGTGAAATCACTTATGTATAAAGTGATCTGCGTGTGTCATCTTGGCAGCCTGTTCCTCCTATTCTATAGGTCATAAACTTTTTTTTAATGCCATCCGATTCGCTACTGTACACTAAGTCCTTGAGCAGATGACATACCATTTGAAAATGTTCCCAAGCTCTTCTTTTCCTAATAATTACTTGAATGTGCGGGAAATCTTCCCTTTTGTGTAATAGAAACAGATTATTCGAAAAAGTACATTATTTGGCAGATTGTCAAGTGAGAAAACAAGTTCTGGCCAAATTTCTTTCCAAATGAGAAAATCGAGGTATATCGCATACATATGAATAGAGCTAAAACAGCTCTATAATGCTCCGTCAAAGGTGGCCCATTCGATCACCCCGCTGAGAAAATGAGGATTATGTCTCCTAGTACACAATGCTCTGCGTTGGGACCATCAGCCTATCGTGTACGCACATATATTGGCAGCCTCACTCGTTTAACTGCGAAGCGCTACCCCAAGTCCGTTACTTTTAGACGATCTCTGATTTTGAGCACTTACAAAAACGACGTCATGCGACAGTGCCCATCTACAGACACTTTGTTTCTCATTGATATGCGTTATAACTAGCAAGTGAGGTAGAAATCGAAACGGGAAATTAAGTAACATGATTATCAAGGCAAGTAATCGAAACGGGAACCAAAATACGTGATTATCAACGCTGAAACAAAATGAAGTATTAGGGTGTCTCATAATTTTTTACCGTTTTTATCCTAAACATCAGCATTTCTCGAGAACTGGGGCACCTCCAAAGGATACAAATACATGATCGTACTTCTGTATGTATGATCCATATGATCACATGTGTGGGAGGAGCTCAGGACTTCTAGGGGCGGAGTGCTATTTTACCTTATGCATTTTTTCTTTAATTCTAGCCATGGAGAAAATTCAGAAAGTGTTCAATCGAATGTGCAACGTGTCAAGTATATGCTGGGATGAATGGGAAATTTTTTAGATACTTTGAGGCGTAAGTTACGATTTTTGACAGAAAAGTTCGTTTTCGACCACTAGCAGATTCCACCTTGAAACTCCACGTGGGATATGATTTGGGCAGGCTTCTGATAGCCATCTTGTAAAGCTTGCTTTGTCCTGTCGAATGATTACTCAAGCCACATCAGATGAAGGGAAAATACAAAAAGACGGGAGTTAAGTAAAAGCGAAAAAATTATGAGAAACCCCATTAGAAAAAAAAGAGAAAAGTAAGAGATTCGTTTAAAAAACCAACAGAGAAAACACAGGGCAGGAAAACGGAACAGAAATAATGTTATAATCGGGAAGAAGAACGAATAGCGAGAGAACAACTGGCAACTGGCAAAGAGCATCTTGATCAAGTAATTTATTGAAATCCACCAATACTTCAAGGGCAGAGGATTTTGAACGAGGAAGAGCCTTGGCTGAGAAAACTCTCAATTTAAGGTACCTCTCGTTCTGGAAGAAGAAATGAAAATTTCGAAAAAGCATTCGTAAAATTTCCGTTTAGGATCTTGAATTCCATGGAGGTTTCAAATTTTCTCCTTCTGGATGGCAAACTGGGTAGGCATGTTATCCCTCTACGTTCCTCACTTCATAGTAGCATCTCAAAAGGCTTGGAATTGATTTTTCTGTTTGAGACTGTAGTTATTCTCCAGGTGTTCCATTCTTTCGGATCACTCCAAAAAAGCCACTGTAGGGACTGTAACCAAAATGTAAAAACATCAAAGGCTGCATGACGAAGACGCAGAAGCAGTATTAATTGAGCGGGCGCAAACTCCGCGCATGCGTATCGTCACCGTTGTAAATCCTGCATCTCATGCGCTCTGCGTCTAACGAAACCGCATTCGAGCCCGAAGATAGTGTGCCTTCGTCATGCAGCAGCCTATAACTACTCTAAATTTACGAGTGAAGAATGAAGTGAATTGTTGAATTAAATTATGAATTGTAGCCAGAGGTTGGCTAATCTATTAGGCCTTTCCATAAGTTTGTAGAGTTTTCATAATTCAACAAAATGACTAAATTTTAGCAAATTTCAGTCAATAGTGCATATTCCTTTGTTGCACACAGCCTCCTGCCACAATGCAGTCAGATTTTCAGTTCCGTTTTCCGACAACTCAGCGGGCCTGGTCCTAAGAGTCTTCTAATCAGTGCCTGATATCGTCTTCTAAATGAAAACAGACGCTGCTCATATGATTTGCGACAGACTGCAACAGATGATAATGTGCTAGAGCAAGATTTGAGGAGTACACTGGATAGTACCTCCAGGCCAAGTCTTGCAGGACAGCTATGCCGGCAGTTGCCGTAGCGGCCTGAGCTTTTTCGCGCAGGAGAACTCAATGGATCCGTTTATTAGGCATTTTTTGCAGCAAGGATTCGTTATGACGGTGCAGTCATTTTCGTACGATGTGGGCAACTGCCTTGTTCTTGCCGAGTAATTTTTAGTACAGTACCTCCTGCCCATTCTGCATAAACTCGTGTTCAGGATTCACATCGTAAACTCTTAGTATTTTTTCGGCAATCCACTCCGTTCTGTCCCATATTGACATTTTCCATGATCGGCAAAAAATCTGCGCAAAACGCTTTTTGTTTTATAAGAAAAAAAAGCAAGTGCCGAAAATGCTTCTTTTTGCCTTTTGAGAAGTCCTAATTTGGGAGCCACGGATTTGAAGCAAATCAGCTTTGTACTTGATTGATTCAAAGGGTAAGATCAGCTCTTCTCAATGATATAGGCATCTCGCCGCATGTTAAGCGCTCCTCAAAGAGATGAGAACGAGAATGAAAACTCTACAAATTTATGAAACGACCTAATAGCTTAGTGAAAAGGAAACAAAATTCAAGGCTAAGTCGAGGTTTGGTGCCCTTTTAAAAAAGTCGCTCTATGCAAACTGACTCAAAATTTGCCGAATTTCATAATGGGATTGACCTGCCGAACAAGACTATGGTACTTATTTGTTGGATTGAAGGCAGCGTCCAGGCAAATCTGGGCCTATGGGGATCTTAATTTGAGGGTAATCTTAGAGCCCTAACTAAAACACTGCTCAAGCGGTTTCGCGCGAGCGACGCGTGTCGCGTCATGAATCCATGCGAATACGACCCCGGGTCCAGAACATCTCAACTGTGAGTTCACCATTTGAGTTGTCGCTTGGGCACTGTCTTAGTTAGGGCCCCAAACTTACTTTCCACATCAGAGCCCCGTATGTCCAGATTTGCCTGGACGCTGCCTTTAACCTCTCTTTTCTCATTTAAGGTAAATCTCCATATCATAAACCCATAGTAATCTCACAAGAAAGCATCTACCATGCGATTTCTGTACCGCTTTTGTGATCAGCACGTCGGATATCTCTTCTACGCCAAGTATCAGCCAAATTGGTGTTGATTTACAACTTTCTCCCTGATACCGCGTACCTACCGTAACCCTCACTGTAACGTCAGAATTTGGGAAGACAGCAGCTATGGCTTTGGCGATAC